ATGAACCACACAACTGTAATGCCACGGCACACTTACACAGTATATAGGCAGTTGTCAATGCAGCACATGAAAAAAAAGTTTTTTTTCCCCCGCAGCTTCGCTTAAGTGCTCTCTGCAGGCTGATCTCAGGCCCGCTACTCTTTGTTCCTCCACAGTTGAGTCCAGAGTTTTCTGGATAGTCCAGTCCTCCAGGATTAGAAACCAAGCTTTTCAGGTCAGTGCTGCTGAGGCTCCCAACACACCATGTTCCTCCCCACAGTCTGATAAAAGTGGACGGGTTGATACAGGTAAAATGAATGTCTTCTTCAACATATTATATAATTAGTTATTTCATTAGTCATTTGTTTACATTTACACTAAAGTCTGCAGCCTAGGATTCTATATCCTTGAATGGCTGATGTCTGACCCCTGTGAGTGAAACCAAATGTGATCTTCTAGACGTGTTTTTTTTTTTTTTTCCCCCCAAACTGTTGGTGCTGCACAGTCTCATAATGAGATTGGAGACATCCTGCCATGATGCGGCATTCATGTCCTTAGAAATTGAAAGGATATTTGCATACCTCTATAAACAGTCATCAGACTAAACAAACACTTACAGGGACCACAGACATCTCACAGAAACACACACACACACACACACACACACACACACACACACACACACACACACCAGATTATTATTTATACCAGTAATATGGGGGGCGGGGGAGCCCTTGTCTGAACCCTTGACAACCTTTCTGTTAAGTGTTCCAGGTGCAACATAATTTTTCAAAATTTGATGTGCTATTTGTCAGGTTTGGCAATGTGATAAATCGTTCTACCAAGCTACAGGTGCAGCTACACAATAATTAATTGCATCAGAAATTGAACTGCCTTGGTTAAGGATTGTACTCCTACATACAAGCTACAATTGTTTAATATCACTCAATCATACAATGTATAAATCATGTGGGAATTTCTGATGCACCATGTATGCATTCTTTATGTTTTCCATCAGTCATGAGCAGTGGGCTGAGTGAAAAGACACGTTGATGTGTCAGTCATGCAGACAGACAACAGAGAATGTCCGTACCTTGGATCAAACACAATGAGCTAGAAGATGTTTGCAAGAAAAACAGTATGGACCAAATTTAATGTTAAACAAGAATTCCTGAATTAGAGTTTAATAAATTATAAACATTATAAAAGTATTTTGTCAGAATAGCTGGGAATACGTTAGACGTTTAAACCAAAATGTTCTGGAAGGAAATGAAAAACAAAAACAAAAAAAACCCCTGCACACACTGAAATGTGTGATGCCTGCTCGTCTGTGGTCATTTAATTGCTTGTTTTTGAAGATGATGAAAGTCATTATTGATCAACTTATAAAGCAATTCTGGAATCAAATTGATTTGCTTCACTGCAATCATATTATCTGACAATGTTAAAGGCCAAACTGTATCTTTGTAATAAAACTGTATATAACTGAAGAAGCTCAGCCTTCTGCAAATTTGCTTCCATCTTCTAGAATAAAAATTACACTTGAGTGCAATGACATTTTTGTACAAAGTCTTTAATTATGCATAAATATGTTACAAACCATTATAGTTCCCAAATTCTGTACAATGTTTTACACAGTTACACAGGGCAACTGCTTGTGGTTTATACACAAATTGCTATTATCATAATATCGCAACACTGTTGGAAACCTACTAATTGCATAGATAGATAGAAAATAAGCACCTTCTTTGAAAAGTAAACTGATACTGTAAACGTCAGTGTTTAATTTGGGTAACAATAGCTTATCTGAAACCTCTCCGCTTTTTCAGTTGAAGGGCTTTCTCATTTTTACAAACCTCAAATGTTTTCTGGCCTCAAACCGTCACAGGCTGATTTGTATTCAGTGCGCTCCGGCTTCAAATTGGCAAGTGCAGGTCTGCCCCCCATCCCCCCGTAAAATTCTTGGCTGCATCCTTTCCATCCAAGATTTGCTGGGAATCTGATCACATCAGTTGTGTGCTGTGTATAACAAAACTCTTAGCAGGCCATAGAGTCCAGCAGATCAATCTGTGCCATAATGTAATTTATACAGGGATTGATCAATTTTAAATAAGGATCAGATCTAAATAAGGGGGGGGGGGGAGATCAAATTATGTTACACTGCTTTTGTTTTTACTTGAAAAATCAATCAAAAAGCCCTGCGATGGACTGGCGACCTGTCCAGGGTGTACCCCGCTGTTGCTTGATGTCAGCTGGGATTGGCTCCAGCCCCCCTGCGACCCTGTACGCAGGATAAGCGGTTGACAATGAATGGATAGATGGATCAATCAAAAAGAGCAAAGACTTGGTGAAGACTATATCCAAGTGTAATATCTAATAGGACCTCTTACAGGTTGTGCAGAACTCCAGAGTTTATTCTTATGAGTAAACGTGCCTTAAAACTGTTATCTGTTGTTTGTCATTATTGAAAACCAATTCGGAGACTGAGCACTCCTGGACAACAGCCCATCTCCAGATATCACTCAATAGCACTGAATCAGCGATACTGAAGCACCAACACGTGAATCAATCGGTCAGTCAATGACAGAGCAGAAAAGGTGAGAAAACGTTGTAAGATGTTGAAGAGACAGGTAAGGGAAAATGACAAGACTGCATTCTGACGGCGCACTCTGCTGACCTTGAACTTCAGCCAATAAAATGCAAACATGGCTAAATAAATCATCCGCAGACTTGCTGGAGGCGATTTATGATATCCAAACAGTACCAGAGTGTTCTTTAGTACCAGTACCCAGTGGAGCTGCCATTTCAGCCAGATAGGTACGAAACAATGCAATCAAGTTTCATGGCGTAACCTGATAAATCTTCCAATTATTCGGCAGAGGGTGTCATGACAACACAGAGCCCCCTTTCCACCTCCCGCCGTCACAATGATTCTCAGTCGTGATGCCATGAATACAGAGAGAAGGACCACTTCAGCCAATATAATATCGTCTTGACACAGTGAACATTATCTGAGCGGTGGATAAAAATAATTAGCGGAGTCTGCGCAGACACTTTGTCTATAATAAGATTTCAGACAGAGGACTGTTTGCTGTTTTGTGGCACAGATTGCCGTTAAGCGAGAAAATGTGAACTGTGTCGATCAATGTAACAGGTGATTACAAACTTGAGTATATGATTATTTTTTTCTACTTTATGAATGTTTACTGTATGTGGGTTACTAAAGGTTTTTTTTGGAAAAATAAAGCAATTCCTGCAGTAATAAAAACCACATACAATCACATTTGTACAAATTGTCTAACCTAATGCAAAACAAGCATCTACACATTCACAAGAGTGACAATTATTTTTGAAACCCTGATTCTATTCATCCTACTTAATTTATAATGATACAATATGCATACATAAATTACACAGCTTTGACATTGAAAAAATACAGCATATGGAAATAGGTTTCTTTACTATAATAGTTTGTCCTTGCCATACAATTGTCCTCATAACCTTACATCATCGCTTTTCTTTGACAGCAACATCTTTATGTACAGTAGCAGGTGACTGAAGAAGGAGGCGACCGAACATTACATTTTGCTTACATTTAAGGAAGAGTGCTGAAACTGATTGTTACAGGAATGTCAGCCTGTTTCTGCGAGAGAAAGGTTTGCTGTTGTGTTGAGTGAGGAAGGTGTGTTTTGTTTACGTTGCAAACACAATCTCTTTATTAACATTTACATCCTATTGACATTGTTAACACAAAGCAAGCAGGCGCAATAGTCATCAGTGGGTTAACTTTTGATTACTGTATCATCAGAATTTATCGCTATAGTAAGATTGTCGAGTGTGTTTTTAATTAACTCAAGATTTTTAAAAAACAGATAAAGATTTGTTTAACTTAAAGGGGCACTCCGTTGATTTTAAACATCAAGGTCAGTTTGCTCATCATGATTAGTAGTACTCAGCCTGGGAAAACAGTTGTGTAACTTCTGTAGCTCTGGAGGGAGCACTCCAAAATCAGAAAAAATAACCCTGATGATGTCATAGTGATGTCATCGGGGTTATCTTGACTTGGAGGCTTAACATTTTTAACATCTGCCTTACAAACTGGGAGCACAGAGTTTGAAATACATGGGTGTTTACCAGGCAAGTAGAATCTAATAAAAAACACTACCAAATTGCATTATGGGAAATGTAGGATCCAGTGTTTTAGTGTACTCCCAATACTAGGGAGTACAGGCGAGGATATATCTTGCGCCTTCAATTTTGATCATTCTTTTTTAATCCGCCTCTTTTGAGTCTCCCGACTTTATGAAAACGCATCAGTAAATCACTACAGTACCCCTTTAAATGTCAAACTATAATTGTCAAGTGTGCTGCCTCCTAATCTCTAGTTTACTAAATGCATTTCTTTAAGCCCAGTAATGAGACTGAATGAAAAGAGCAAATGTAAATGTCTACACTACAGAGCAAAACTAAGCTTGATGTTCATTCTTGACTTTTTACAGCTTTAAGCAACATCTGACAGCCCTCAGTAAATAAAATTGCTCGGTTGTCATAGTGATGGATGGATAACAGGTGGATAAAAAAAAAAAAAAAGTATGTATAATTGATCCAATATCATGACTGAAGATTTGTACCATTTCTGCTGTGACTTCTAACGGTGGACTTCTTCCACTGACAGCTGAGACTGGCAGCTGTTACAAGCAAACACCAAGAAAGTGATGACAACGTATATACACAAATGTCTGGACTTCATGATGCTGAGAAAATCCTCATCAGAGTGGAATCCACATGTGACAGTATTTTTTTTTTTTACAAGTTTAGATTAAAAGGAGACTCCATACATGGTATTCATCCTGTGATCTTCCATGAGTACTTCTTTTGAGTAGAAATGTGCAACATCTTTCATCCGGCAGTTTGTTGAGAATTTGACTACGGCACTGTGTGTGGTGACTGGCAGGCATTCATAGAAATAGCAGTTTATAATATCAGGATATTAATTCTTGCTTCTCTGAAGCAGCCAGGATATCAAATAGAGCCTCTCTGATTCAGATTGTGCACCAGGAAATGTGATATGTTTTGTCTGTTCAGTGATGTATGCTGTGTTGGTCTTGGGACCCGTTGTAGGATTTATGTCTAATTTCTGTGCGGCTGTAAGTTGGGCTGCTATTGCCGGTGTGTGTTACTCAAATTCGTTGTTGCTGATAGACAACAGATTCTCATTTGAGACCTCCTGGGGACTCAGAGCTGCATCGTCAGAGATGGGTTCGGAGCGGGACTCGGCCAGTCTGACAGAGACAGAAAGAGAGGAAGACAGAAGTAATATTGCTACAGAGGTCAGAGGCAGTAAGTATTTGTCATCAGGGTTCACAGGATATTTAAAGGTTAAAAACTGAAGAAAGGATATCACAAGCACACAAAAGGTGGTTGATTTGAATGACTGGAATGACTGTGAACAAGTCGGAGGAAATATGTACTATGCAACAATGTGAACACATAAGTTGATTCATATCTCCTTTCCAACTGTCATGCACAGTTGATTAAAGGCAAGCCATAATAATAGCTGGTTAGATGAACAACATTAGGACTCTATAAATTTTTGTTTTTGTTTTTCTATTTTAAGGTCCAAGGATGCGAACCACTGCAAACACAGATGATTTGCTTATTTCTGGACAGTCTGTTTTTGGTGTAAAAATAGAATGGCACTGTACATGAGTGAGTGATACTCTAAATGTAAGGCCTCATGTAACATGCAGAACGAAACATGTAAATAGCATGCATGTCACTTACCGGTCTCCATCTCTACATCCACGTTGCTGAATGCCAGGTAAAGTAGAAGACAGATAGGAAATTATGACTATGTGACTCAATTAAATACTTACATTTTAATTGTATTATTGTAGTATTCTTAAATACTAATCAAGCCATTTAATTAAACACGTTTAAACTGTAGTTGATGTCAATAGTTGTGAGCTTCAATTGCCCTGGCTTTAAGCACTGAGCCTCCACTTGAATCTTCTACTCTAACATCTAGATTTTTTACAGAGCCATAAACCCTGACCTGTGCTGATATAGTTAATTGGAAACCATTCTACTGATGTTGGTTTGGCTGCACCATTTGTAGCTCAAGCTAGAAGGCTATAAAGCACTGCTAGCGACCACTAGAGGCAGTGCAGCTACTTACACACAAGTGCAATAAATTGGTTTTGCAGTGAAGCGCCCACCCACAGACCAACAAACTGACCCGCAATGCCATCTGTAAATTCACCCATTCTCTAAAGAGGCTAAAAGTTAGCAGAAAATAAGCTCACAAGCCTGTTCATAGTAGTTTTCTGTACAGGAGATGCAGTCAAACATGAAAGGTAAAAACAATGCCCCTAACATTTTTACCCCAATGTGTGCATCTACTACTAATTACTATCGGAAGATTTTATGTTATAAGCTACACAAAGCTCCTTAAAGCACCAAGCAGTAGAGGACCAAACAGTTCACAGCTGTGGCCAGGGAGCGTCATTTCTTCAGAATCTAAAATGTTGACATACTGTTTTGTGATCGGACCAAAATCTAATGCTTGACCACTGGCTGCTGCAGAGGTCCCAAAACCTTTTCAAACCATGGCAGCCCTTCACAACCAAATACAGAAAATGCTGGTCTGCGCCTTTTTCCACTGTAATCTTTTCTAAATGCCACATGTGTGGTCAAGTAGGTGTTTTTCTCACTTGCTTGTGTTTTGTCTATTTGGAGTTGAGCTTTCAGGGCCACCATAGTCAAAAGTTTGATCCCTGAACATTCAGAATGGTGCCTAAAGACAAAGAGCATGACCATCCTCTGTTGATCTAAAAACACTCCCAGTGTCAAGGACAGATCGTATCCACCATTTGTGCACCACCACCTCACTTCCTCGCTGACTTCTGCATAGGAGATCTGCTCTAATACTCCCACTACAAAATCCTTTCCTCAAGGATATCAGATTTAGACACTTCTTTAAGTGTTCCGCCTTCCTCCATTTGACAACTGTCCACACTTGAGGACAGCACTTTCTCATCCCTGCTGAGAACGGCATCAGTAATGACCTGCCTCCCTCTTCTGAACTCCCAGCCAGCTTCCACATAGACACTGCTGTGTAAATTCTCTGCCTCTCATTTACCAATTTGCTTTAACCAAAGCTTTTCATGCTCCAACACAACAAACAGATCTTCTAGCCACAACTTACTGAGATGCAATCTCTTTAATGTGTAGGGTACCATCCCTCTGCTGTGCTCCTCTCTTTAGGGAGGGCAGACACAGCACTGCAGACACATACACATGTATCAGCAGGTTATGTGAAGAAATGAAAAGCCATGCAGAGGGCTCAGACACTCACTGGACAGTTTGGCCTACATTCGTTATAGTTTGTTGTGCATGTAGGGACATTATCAAAGAGCTTTGATGGGTTTTGAGTTTGGCAAAAAGTGTGCTTATAGTATGTGATATTATATTACATATATCTTTTATTATTATTTTCATCACACCTTTATGAGTCTGTTACCTGTGAGACTCACATCTGTCTCTCTGCAGGCATCTCACGCTATTAAATTACAATTTCACAGACCGCCGCACTTCTAAGAAAATAGAAAGTGTTGCATTGTAATCCTAGTTCAGTGACTGATGTGCTGTGGAGTACCCTTCTGGGCTTCAGTCACTGTGACAGCTCTGTCAGTAAAGGTAGGCGATCATGTTGGCAGTAGAGGAAGCGATAGTCATTTCTATTGTCTGCAATGGTTCAAGAGTGGCACAGTGACCTCACAAGAGTTCAGACTGCTCACTAGATACACATGATTTCTATAGTCACTCAGCTCAGTGTTACAGGCTTACAATAGCCTATTCAAATAGATTGTTATAACGTGATATAGTATATGTTATATAATAAAATCAAACAAATTATCAGTAAAAAGCTTCTTTAGCACCAGGGTAATATCACAGGTATGACATTTATTGTACACAAAACAGTATCAATACTGGACTATAAACAACCTTTAGGAATGGATAATAGATGATTTCATATTTCTTAGTTTTTAACATTTTTGTATATTTATTTTGTTGAATCTAACAAAATGAAACAAAATGAAAATGAAAATCTCACTACAAAATAAAAAGGACTAAGGAAACTGAACATAAAGTGGAAGCAGTTTTCTCCCTTATTGCTAAGAAGTGCAAAAATTGCCATTTAAGTATAGGTAATTTTAAGACCTATACGTGTTCTAAAAGTAGATTATAGGGTGTTCACATTAGGCTTGAAAATTTCTTATCCACCTTCCCTAGATTGGTTTTATTAAGCAGAGACAAACACAGGAGAACATCAGGGAAACAATAAGACATGTTACAGAAAGTAAGATAGATACCTGTAGAGGCCCAACTGGCATTTGATGCTGTTAGCTGAATTTTTATAAAAAGTCTTAGAGGGTTAAAGTAAATGAGGACTTCACTGCTCCATTAACCCTACACCTGGCATGCAATAAATCTCTTCTCATTTGTTCCTCATAAGACACAAGACTCAAAAATTTTGCAATTTACAGAGAATACCACTCTTAAGATGATGTGGTTTTGTTAATTTTCCCTTCATTTAAGGGACGAAAGCTTCATTATATTGGAAAGGAAAGGTATTCCATCCTACTGTACTCATTAGGGGGGCACTAAAGAGAGTCAGGACTGTATGGGAATATAATTTAGGACCGCAATATCTCTACATATCCCTCTGAATCCCTCACTATTTTAGAACAATCCCAAAAGACATTCTTTGGCAGGACAGAATTAAAATATTTTTATCTACTTCTATTTCTGAATATAATACTAAAATAATATCTGATAGATCAAACGGTTTTTAAAATAGAAAATTAGAGGAGGCGTATTGAAGAGAAATGAGTTAGGGAAAGTAATAGAGTGCTATAAGGTTTGTCAAATACAGTGGAAGACTAAAGGTTCCCTTATTTGGAGATAATTTTGTTGGAAGAGTTTTGTCCAATTCTTCATTACTCCTCTGCAGAAGCGACACACAACAACTAATTCTGACTGTTGGAGCCAGACATATACTGAAAATCATCATTATTCTGGTCCTGTCCTGTTTTTATCACTCAGCACAGACCAAACTTTAGACGAGATATTCAGAACTTCAATCCCTCTTAGATTCGATGTCCTATACCTATGCAACACCTCACAAGTGACAAACTCTGAAGATAGGGCCCTTATTGAAATTCTGCTTGCTGCATGTAAAAAAGCTATAAGTCATAAATGGCTAAATCCTTAGGCACCCTTAATTTATAACTGGAGGTAGTTCATCAAACATGTATAATGGAGAAATTGACATACTCACTCACAGTACACCAAGATACATCTACAAATATCCGGCAAAGGTGGATTGAGTTCATTAGATCCCGAAGACAAGACTATACATGAAGCACAATTACATCATTTAAGGATATTCGCATTCCTCTCAATTGTTTGTACATAGTTCTGTTTGGTAACAACAATATTTGTTGCAGCTGGGAAGACACTAGTTAATATTAATTTCTTCTGGAATTATCATTTAATTGTTTGGTTGTTTTCTTTATTTGTTTTGTCCCCATTTTTATTTACATTCCAATTGTGTTACAAGTGCAAAGTGAGAGCCTTCTTTAAGTCAACAATTTAGATTTTTCTTCTTGTGATTTTATTGTCATTATTATTGTACCACAGTGCCATAGGAGGATTTATAACACAATTTAAGTGACAGTAGAGAAGGCTGTCTTCACGATGTAATATAATAAAAACTGTGCTGTGCTTTTGGTTTGGTTGTAGTTGGTCTTTTCTTCCTTTTAAATTATTTTATGTGTTTCTTCATTTTTTTTTCCTTCATTTAATATATGTAATTGTCAAAAAAGGGTGGGAAATGCAAAGTAATTCCAATAGTAAACAAACTAAAATTCTTAATCTTTCCCATGACTAGAGACACAATTAAGCATTTCTCAGCCAAAATCCCCTATTAACCAGATAATAATCACTTTTGGGTTTTAGGAACAAAATCTGGGCTATTTTACTAAGTATTTCAATACTGGTGTTATACAAGGTAGTGGATCAAGTCACATCCAAAAACTGCTTTAATTAGAGCTGATTGACTCCAAAACTGCCTCGTTTTATTCGGTTCTGGTTTAATAAGACACCAGAGCTTTACAGAACCTACAGTACCTACAGCGGCCTATAATGTTAAATTAGAAGGAAGTCCTCCAGGACAACTAACACGCTGAGCATGCTGGGAAAACTATCAGGAGCTTTATCAAATGGAGTGTTTTACTTTTTCTTTCTACTGCTAACAGCCGAACACTCAAATGAATCTATCTTGTAATATCTTTCTAAATCTCTAAAAGCGGTGGTAATGCCTCAACAGATGCTGCTATAACCTTGTGTTTTCATGCATCCTTCCTACATTAGGTCATTGCCATGGCTGCAATGTCATCTTTCTGCATGGAATTAACTGAGAAAAGAAAACTAGTGCATGCCCTGTCTGTGTCTATCCATGGGTGTGAATTTCAATAAAAATCTGTGTCAGTCAATGTGTCAAATGAAGGTCTTACCTTCAGCACAACTGTCATCCTCTGAAATTGCTCGACAGTATTTAAAAGGTGATCTATCACCGTTAAGAGTTCAATCACCATAAAAATGGTTTCATATATTTGGTTTTCTGGGAGGGGAACACTTAAGTGAGCATGAACAATCCCATCTCTTTCTACAAATTAAAAAATATATCCCCAGAGTTCAGCAGACTTGCAGTCACATAAAAAGGTTACCTTGAGAAAGCATCATCGAATCCATCCTCCACATCCTGTTGGGACACAAACAATATGAATCAATACACACATAAATGACTCCTAATGACAATCCTGCTGCTCTGTGCTTTCAAGCTGCCTCATCCCTGAGTCAGCTGTACTTCATAGCATGTGTCGCCTTGCATTGTTGTAATTTATTACATATATAAAAATATGATAATATAAATACCTGTCTGTCCAATTTATACTGAAAATATTAAATTTAACCTGTCAAACACGGAAGGATTAGAAACTACACAAATGAGTCAACAGTAAGAGGAGAGCATTAAAGATCAATTTGACCAGCTGATGAAATCTAACTCCATTAAAGCATAATTTCTCTAGGGAGAGAAATATCCTATTACAGAAAATATGTCACAATGAACACAGATGAATTTGTGTGAGATCAGCATGTGGGAAAGATTTTTCAATGAAAATGCTGTCACCTAGTGTTAAGACTCTGTAAGTGAACACCAGGATGGTGACTAAAGCGCATCTGCAGCGTGAACATTTAAAATGATTTAAAACTACACGTAACTGCTGCAATTGTAGCAAAGTATTTACTGGTATAAATTAAAGAAGTAATAATTTTTTTTGACTTTCACAACAGTACAGCTGTTTCAAATGCTTTTTATATGTACAACTTTAATTACTTTACTGTGTATAATTTAAATACACTCTACAGTAGTACAGTAAAGTATATAAAATATAGCTTACTGTAGTTTAAATTATAATTAGGCTATAGCCTAAAACCGTATTGTGCCCTTAACCAGGGCCCTGTTTTTATTTAAACAGCATTTGTTTATGAATGATTCTGTACCAAGCTTTTTGATCCTCCGGTTTCCATTATATGTATAATTTAAAAACATTTAGTATTTTAGATGATTTTTGATAATCTTGTAAATTACAGAGATTGCATGTTTTAATATTAAGAGAAAGGCAATACGGTGTGATTGATAAAACATTTTAAAAAATCCTAGAGACATGGTAGTCCAATACACTGTATGCTATTGGCACAAATACTAGCCTTACTAAGCTGACAGGAAAACGCTGATGGTGTCATGTTACCTTACTTTTCCTAATGAGTTCTAAAAGTAGGGCGATTTACAGATTTAAAATTTGGGAAAAAGACTAGTTTTGCATCGGCACCACAAGTTGCAGAATTCAGTGTCAGGAGAGAAGACATTGGATTGCTCATTCCCTGTCTGTTGCCTAATCATAAATCATTTTGGCCCAATCAGACCAATCAGCAATTTGGAGGCAGATGTTGTGACCTACCCAAGAGTCATGTTTGATTGGTCGCCTTCGAGTAGGGTTACTACGAGGTGAGGGCGAGCTGAGTGAAGCAGAGAAGAAGGGCCTCCGGAGCTTCTCCTCCATACCAACAGGCTTGTGTACTTCTGGATCTGAGGGAGATGGTAGTGTGGATGAAAAGTTAACAGGGAAATAGAATGAAAAAAAGAAGAGAAGAGGAAAAGGAAAAACACGTGGTACATCCAGACACAGAAGAGAGAAGGAGAGACTTATCAGCTTTTTTGTGACATATCAGCTACAGCCTGTGGCACCGGCAGCTTTCTATGCAACAAGCTGAATTTAAATCATCTCTCTAACGCTTTTATAAGTCTGTCCAGTTATTCTCAAGGTCCTGGAGCCTTTCACATCATATTTTCTCTTGGTCCTTGGGCCACTACCACTGGCAGTGGAGCAAATTTTAATTTAAGAAGCTGGAAAATCCAGCTCTTAACTAACAATAAACTGAATGGATGATTAAGTCTCATTTCGCAGACTCTTTGACCCCCTGAGTAGCGGAAAACATTTTGACCTATAAATGTCACGGCCATTGGAAAGTACTTAAAATCTACTGCTCCCCTGAATGACTAATGAGTGGCGTATAATTAAGTGATTTGTCCTCCATGTATTTGAGAGGTGATTGACGTAAGTTAAATTACGTCAGCGTCAAACTTAGTCTCACTGTCACGTGCATGCTAAGACTGGAAAAGGAATTTTCAAGTCATTATGCAACTGACTACAGGAGCATTTACTTACTCGTGTTCACTGTAAACTGTTGGGTATGTGTCTGGAGGAATTTGGCCTTGTGAGGATGCAAGTACTTTAAACATGCATCTAATCACTGTCTCATTTCAGTGACTGCAGCACATTACAGTGGCCATTTTTACAGCACTAATCAGATCATTGGAGGGGGGGACTTATTAGTTGTTAGAGCCTTAGATTTTATATGGTACAAAGTACTGCAAGATGGTTGATAGTTTTCCACAGGACCTGCTAACAAACACCTGCTTTAAGGGCAGACAGCTCTCACTAGCTCACACTTTATAGCTGCTAAATGAATTGTGCAAACATTTGTCAGAAGCTATTTAATGCTAACATACCTTTTTTTATGCTAACCTAACTTTTTTATTTTTATATTAATGTGACTTGTGTGGTTATGGGTGTCTGTGTTTTTAACCCGAGCTGCCCAATGATGTGGTTTTGGAACACAGGCAGGTAATTTCTTTTTAGCTATAGACCTAAATTTGTGTAGTCTGCGTTAGCGTTATCACAGCTACTTGCTGCTGTTTTCACTGGTAACATTATATGTGACATGTTAGCTAGCTGTAGGACACATGTCTATCAGAGTGTGATGTGTGGTAAAAAAAAAAGTTTTAGAAATGTGAGTGTTGTATAAAAATTCACATCTAAAAGTAGTTTATATATGTGCTATTATGGCAATGGGTGTTCTACACCACTGCTGTGAGCACATTTTTGACTGTTTGTAAACAGGAAACCCATCTATTAGGTTTAAGGGAATAGTTTGACATTTGGGAAATATTTGTTGAGAATTAGATGAGAAGATTGATACTATTCACAAATAGTGGGTCTACAGGGAGGTTATGTGCCCCAAAGTACTGCTTTAACACTTAATTTCTTTTTGTAGGGATTAAACAACTGAGATTTAGTTAATTAGTCAGCTTCAGAGCTGCAG